TTACCCATTAGGAAGGATATTCCTGAAATGAAAGAGATGTTAGATTATTTGTTCCAAATGTTTTCTTCTCAGAGTCTGTGAGGGTTTAAATATATATTTGTTTATTTAGTTAGTTTGTTTATTGATTTAGACTAGAATAGAGAATATTCAAGGCCCTACTGGAATACAAGCTTTGTGAAGGCAGAGATGGTATTTACCTTTCTCTCTGAAAACAGAGCCTGGCGCATGGCAGGCTCCCAACAAATACCTGTTGAGGGAACAGCTGGGACTTTCCATTTCCCTTATAGACTGATCCTTGGCCCTTGGCCCTTGCCACAGAGCTTGGCTTTGGACCTCTCCCACTGGTCCTGCTCAGTGCCCCACACCCACCTGGGGCCCTCCTGGATAATGACCCCTCTCACCACCAATCTCCGCATCTCACCTATCCACCTCCTCACTGTCTCACCTACCAAAACCTCACCTCAGGTGTAATGTGTTTGGAAAATATCAAAATAAGCCAATATGAGCCTCAAATAAGAAGTGGAAGGGAGGAGGTGTGGGTCCACTGGAGCAGCAGGTGCCAGGATCACATGATTACTTTGTACCAGGGACTATACAAATCAGTCAGATCCTTTATCTGTCCTGTAAACTCCATATTTTACCCACATTCTCAACAACAAAACTGAAAGTACTTTAAGATCATGTAACTGGCAAGCTACAGAGTCAGGATTTAAACCCAAATTGGTCTGACCCCAAAGTTGCCAGGATTAGTTGCCCTTTGCATTGGTCAATGACTTTGCCCCAAAGGATGTTTAGGGCCACAAGACAAGGAAGGCAGCAAGGCCAGGGGGTTAAGGGGGGACTGGTGCACAGAAAACCTTTCCCAGGGGCCCTTGAAGGCGTTTGTTCCACCTGTGCACCATGGACCCTGCTCCTTAGTCTTCAGTCTCACCTTTTCTTCCTTCAAACCCTCGTCCTTCTTCCAAGTGTATCTGTTTTCAGGGTTAGTGTTCTGTAATAGAACATGTAATTGAAAATCTGCCTCACATATTCAAATCCAGATTCTAGGTTTTGTGGTAAGAACTACCTCTCTTTACCTTTCTCCCTATTCCCATTTCTAAAATAAATAAATAAAATAACAAGAGAAAAATGCCACTTGAATTCCTTACCCAGTTTATTGAAATTAAAACTAGTATCATCTTGGATACCAACTACCTGGAGAAGTTCATGCAGCTGGTATCTGAGTGAATTATGTTACAGGAAAACAAGATGCAACATGACACCTGAGGATGTGTGTTGATTTTGGGTGAAGAGTTCCTTCATTGTCACGTCCTCCTGAAAACAGATTCTGTGAGCCAATATTTGCAAACACCTCCTACCAGCCCAAGGAACCAGAAGTGAGCCTGCATGGTCACGGGGCCACAATGAATAGTTAGATGGCAGCAGTCCACCACTTCTTTGTCAAAGTACAGGGAAGCATTTGCTTGATCTGGTGAGCAGCCTGAATATATGGAAGCCCTCTGGGAGAGCTGCAAGCCAGGTTCTTTCTTCCACTTCCAGTGGTATCCAGGCTACTGCAAAGATGCAATCAAAGAATCATGTCATTGCTGATGGCTTTGGTCTCACACTCATCCAACCTAAAGAGTGGAAACACAGATGTGAACCACTCTCTTCTTGCTTTTAACAGAGCCCAAGAGCCCCCACTACACTGGTGTTTTTCTCAGCTGCCAAATCTCAAATGTTTCCAGGAGCTGTACGAGGAAAGCAATGCTAGTTTTAATCTCCATCATGCTGGATTAGATTAACTCCTTGGCCAGAGTAGCTCAGCCATATCTTATTGACCAAAGGCACTTTGGCAGTAAATTGCCATATTATATTATACTATATAGCAGGACTCATTATACCTTGAGGCTATGTAGAAAATGAGGCCACAGAAAAGGAAACCTTGGGGTTTAGGAATGTTTGGTGGCATGTTGCTATCTCCAGACATTGTGATATGCAGAGGTGCAAAAAGCCAGAGTGGTGATGTTTTTGTATCAACTGGAAAAGGCCATCTGGCTCCTCACCAGCTGTCTCTTCTAGCACCAGATGTAGGGTTTCCACTTATACTCAGACTGCAGATAGAAGAAGAGCCTAGGAGGTTATCCATCCAACCTCCTTTCATTTTGTAGATGGGAGAACCAAGACCAGAGAGAGGATATCACTCAGCTAGGGAGCAGCAGAGTCACACAGAGAAATTGGATCTCCAGATTCCCAGTCCATTATTCCTTTCACTACAGGATGCTCTGGTCCTTGGAAAACATATACAGGGGATTATTTCCCATAGAGGGGAATTAGAGTTGTAATAATCAAGAGCACAGACTCTATAGACAGAATGACTCAATTCTAATGCTACTCAAGGTGTATAAGCTATATAACCATAGTCAAAGTACTTAACTGTTCTATTCTTTAGTTTTTCCATTAACATAATGGGAATGTCAATGGTACATATCTCAGTTTTGTAAAGATTAAATGAGCTAGTATATGTTTAGCATGTAGAATCATGCTTGTCACATGAAGTGCACAATATGAATGTGTGTTATTATGATCATCCTAAGCAAATTGAGCAGTCCTGTAACCACTAAGTCACCTTCATGGTTTCCACTCTTTGAATCATTCAGCTGAAGCTGAACTATGGCTGTAAACACCCTGCCTGATCAGCACTGACTCTCTATGGCAACTGCCACATCTTTGTGACTGCTTACTTTACTTAGCATAATGTCCTCAAGGTTCACCCATGTCGTAGTATGTGACAGGATTGCCTTCTATTTCCATATTTCATGGTGTATATGTATCACATTTTTAAAAATGTATGTATCTGTCAATGGGCACCTGGTTTGCTCTCTCCCTACCTCTTGACCATTGTGAATAGTGCCAGTGTGAACATGGGTATACAACTGTCTCTTTGACATCCTGCTCTAAATTCTTTCGGATACATTCCCAAAAATGGAGTTACCGAGTTATCTGGTAATTTTATTTTTAATTTTTGAGAACTTATCTTACTGTTTTCTATAGTGCCTACACCATTTTACTTTCTTACCAACAGTGTACAAGGGTTCACATTTCTTCACATCCTCATCAACACTTACTATTTTATTTATTTTTTTTAATAGTAGCCATCCTAATGGCTATGAGGTTGTTACTCATTGAGGTCTTGTGTGGTTGTTTTCTTTTTAATTACCATTGACATTCAATATTGTATTTATTATATTAGTTTCACGTGTACAGCATAGTGATTAGACATTTAAATAAACATATGGGTTTTACAAATCTACATTGCTCATTTTCTTATAAACTTATTTAAAAATCTAAATTATCCATCATTTTCAGAAGACAATATAGAAAATTACCTTGAACTTTAACTTGAGCATTTTCCAACTTAGTAGATTCTATAGGCCAGTGTGGTTCCTTGGCATATATGTTTGAATTGATGGAAGCCCCAGAGTCAGGCTACTTTCCATAAATATTTATGGAGCCTCCACAGAGATTGTAGCACTGAGCTAGAGCCTTTATCCTGCCCTTGTCTATAAATACTCTGTAAAAAAATGCAGAGAAACATGAGCCAGACTCTCAAGCTATCATGTAAAAATGAATTATTTGTCAATAAGAGAATTATGTACATTGTAAATCAGAGGAAGGAAAGTTATCCATGTTGAACAGTTGAATGCTCACTGCTGAAGTGAGAGAACTATACTTTCCTAAGCAAAGGTTAGCATCAGTCCCTTCCTGGGCAGGACACAGATCCACACCATTAGGTGGACAAGCCAAATGATTGGGTCCTGCCTGAGAAGACCCTGCACCACCTCTGCTTTTTAAAAGCAGCCACACTCATTTCCAATAAGGCAACTTACTTCTAAAAAGGCAGTGTAGTCTTGGCATGAAAAGGTATAAGAGGCATGCTTGTCTTGCCAGAAGCTCCTTTCCTTTGTCATAGGCCCTATAGGATTATGTCTTGATGGCTTCTAATCCCTTGGTTTGTACTTGCTTTTGCTTTCCCTGGAATACTCTCTGCCTGCTAGCTACTGGTCTTACTTGTGGCCCAAAATTTTTATCTCTGCAAAGTAAAGGTTATGGAGGAGCACAGAGACAGAGTTGGACACAGACACATCTGCCTTGGGCCATCTGAACAGTCTAGGACAATCCCACTTCACATAGTTTGTCCTCTCAAGGACAGCAGATGAAAAGAGAGGGCTACTAGCACTTGTGATTCTATGGTCTTACTCAATGGAGTGTGAATGATTCTACTAGGGCTGTGTACAGGGCCAGAAGTCTAGAAGAAGAAAGAAAGAGGTACAGGGAGAACTCCTTCAGGCTGAACTACTGGTGGCAATTTGGACTTAAAAGGCTGAGTCTTTTTTGTTCCTTTTGAAGAGGCACCACTGACTGATGGGATAAACCCAAGAATCACCTTTAAAACTCTTGAGTTTTCTTCCTCAGCCACTTCAGGTGGAACCTCCACAATCCCTAAGTTACACAGGATGAAAAGTCTGCCACATCTGCACCTACACTCCTGTTGCTCACAAAATGTTCCTTCGCCAGCCCCTCCTGCTTCTTTCCACTCTGGATCCTCTCCTGCCCACCATGATTATCCTTTCCACTCTCATCTGTCCAGGATGCTAGCTCCAAAGACAGACACAATTAGGGGCACTACTTATGAAATGGCCGTGTGGTCCTGCCATACCATTTAGCCCTGTCTGTAGCCCATAGGCCTGACTATCATTACCTTCCTCCACCCCCAGGTTTTAACTTCCATCATTCAGAGCAGGCTATAGTGGTCAAGGCATCCCATTGATTTGCCTCTTTGAGTTTCTAAATACTTACTCCCCATAGCACTTCCCAGCTGTCGAGACTTAGAAGGGTCAGTGGTGGGAATGAAAGGTGGGGGAATGCTCACAGAGAAGCATGTCTGTATATTTGCTCATTGATACATATGGTACCTTTAGGTGCATGCTAATGGCTCTGTCTCTCTTTCCCCTACACAGGGCCTGGAGCAGTCATTGATGGTGTAAACTCGGCCTCTAGAGCGCTGGCTTGTCTCTGGCTATCAGGGACCCTCTTTGCCCACTTCTTCATCAAGTTTTGATAAGAAACCATAGGTTCTCTGAGCAACGTCTGCTTCTCCATATCACAGACTTTAATCTACACTGCGGAGGGCAAACCAGTTTGGGCTTCTTTTTGTTTCTTTGTTTCTGATATTCTTCTTGATTTTTTTTTTACTTTTGGGTTTTGTTTGTTTATTTGATTTTTTTAAGTTTAAATGAGTGGGGTTGGGGGAGGGGTGGGCAGGGTTCTACCATGTGTAGGATAATCATTCATTGGTGTGTCCAAAAGTGGAATATGTTTCTGCTAGCTTGGCCCTTCCCTCCCTTCTGCTTCTCTCCTCCTCATCATCATCACTGACCTCTCCTCTCCCATACACCAAAACATGAGCTCCATTTGGACAAAAAATGTGCCTCATGATAAACACCCTGAAGACACAACTTGACTTATAATGTAGTGCACAGCAAGAGTTATATTCAAGTGTCCTATTATCTGTATCTTTTAAGCTTTGGACCATTTTCCTGATTATAATGTACATATAGCCCTCCATCCATGTTTATTATTATCTAATTACACTAGGGTTCACATCCTTTCTTTCTGGGAAGTCATCACAATGTGTGTGTATTTGTCACAAACACACATGCATGTATATAATCTTGCCCTATTTGCATTTATCACCAACTACAGGGATTATTACAGGTTTGGGGATATTTATTCAACCCAACATTAAAAACTTAGAAATCAAATGGCCAAAAAGGGGGGAGGCATTTTGAGGATAGCATTTCTCTTTTTAAAAAAAATGTGTGTAACTTACAAAAAAAATGACTTATAGATGGCTGAATATTTAGGTTTTATCAAGCTATCTATCAAAGAAATCATATAGTTATCCATCTACTCAATTATCTGATTCATCTCTCCATTCAATTACCTACCCACCCATCTTCCTCTCTAGCAATCTATTTACTCTATTTATCAATCTATCAGTGTAATTATCTAACACTTCTTTCTATTTCTTTCCCCACTACTCACTATCAATTCATCACCATATTAATATCTAGTCATATTGTGTCTATTCAATTGTACTCATTTCTCCTCTACCTTCAACAGACATTGGCATCTTCAAAATTATCTATCAACTTCCCATGTGAAAGCCAATGATCTCACAGGCTAACAACATAGAAAGCAATATGTCATGGACTCCTTGGAATGTGGTGGCCCATCCACCCAAAGCAGATGCTGATAACAGATGGACCAAAGTGGGATTCCAATGACCACTCACTCACTATTCCCAGAAGAGACCGTATTTCCAAAACCATCTTCTCAGGAAGCAGGTTGACCCTGGAGAAGCCTTGATAGGTACTGTATTTTCCTTTTCTCACTCTTGAAGGACTGAGGCTTCTCTCAGCCTTTCAAGAAAGTGTATGTCAGGAACCTATGGGATTACCTGCATGGCTGGCTTTTCTTTATAGCAAGAACATAAAGGAAAAAACACATTTCTGTCTGTGGAGTGTGAAGAGGGCAGTCCACCTGTCTGAGTGCAATGACTTCAGCTATTGTCTCCTCTCTGCTCCAGTTTTAGCTTAATCTGTTTGAAAACTACCCAGTAAAAAAGCTGATGAAGCCAATTATGTGGTGGGTGTGTTGACAACTCTGGTATTTGTTTCAGGAAGCTCTTCTGAGCTGAGGAGGGCACTTGAGCAACTGACTTAATTTCCAAGCACTTGATTAACACAACACTGCAAAGAGAAGGGGAAAAGTGTAAGTGACACACAATTTCCTCTGATACAGCTTTTCTCCATTGGCCTAGGGGAAGAATGTCTTCATTTCTCTGTATTTAAAGCAGACCCAGCATATGATGTTTCTGCATTATCTCCTGGGGCAACAAGGATTCAGCCAGCAGGGTACCGGTGAACCAGTGGAAGATCATTGAAAATCATATAAGTCTGTGCTCCTCTTTACCTGTGCTACAGGGACTGACCTACTGAGAGGATGAGAAAGAAGCATCAACAAGGACTATCTCACAGACCTGCTCTCCCTCGATGGGAAAACTCTTTCAGGAAAATAATACATAATAAATAGGTGTGTGGAGACTATATATGTAGTCTATACACACACACACACACACACACATACACACACATATACACGTGTGTGTGTGTGTGTGTATGCTGTCTTGGCATACAAAAAGCTGTACTTTCATAGGAGTTAGAGCTGGTGCAAGTGAAATTAATATTACATTTACCAGCTGTAAACAGACATCTGCATTTCCTAGTGAACCGCCAGGAGCTAGAATCTGGGAACATAAATGATGTGCCAAGAGCACTGTATCGATTCCAAGTTCCAGGGCCAATTATGAGCAGGCATCAAGTCATAATTAAAAGTCGGACATCAGTGTTTCATATCTGTCACCACATACAGCACCTGGAATCGGGTTGGTGTCAGACATTGTATGAGAATTAAATGTGTCATTGGAGTGTTCTACTGATAGCAAATGTGCCACTTTGGAGTAAAAGAAATATGGAGGCACTGGGCAGTGTTGGTGATTCTGGAGAATACGGATCTCGAAATGGACAAGCTGTAAATGTCCTTCATTATAAGAGTCCTTCTAGAGGAAGGGGGCCATCCCCCTATGCAGGAAGATCACCAGCACCTTTGGAACAGAGCAAGGCTGGTCTCAGAGCCACTGTGAAACTCTGCATGCCCTCTTTTACTGGATAGCAAAGCACCTCTGGGAGTTGCCTCTTCCAGCCACATTCTGCAGGGGGAAAACTACAACTAATCCTCATCTGTCTGTGATAAAGAAAACCAAATAAATAAGACCCAAGGAAACTGGGCACTGGGAAAGGAAATTGCTCTTCCTCACAGCAGATGTACCTCAGCCTCTGTGTTGTTCGGGTTACTTTGGTGGGGATGGCTCTATATGACGGTAGTTCTTCCCCAGCATTTTGAAGCATCCAGAACAGTAAATGCTCACTAAAGACAACATCCACACTTCCACCTGCTCTTTCAACTTTACATATGGAGGGTATGTGGATAAGGCCTGCTGGATGGAATTTTTTTGAGGTATTATATGGGGGTGGAGCTAAGGGTAAAGGAGGGAAAAATAAACAAGTCCCTCAGCAACTGAAAGCTCTTTATGGGTTTCCTGAGGGAAGAAAACCAATAGTGCTTATCAGGAGAGAGGAATTCAGCAATGCAGCTACTCTGAAACCTTCCCCTTCCCAAAGCAAAGTTAATATGGACTTCCACCAAAGTAATGCCAATGAAAGTGCTAGTGCTCAGATGGTGGCCAAGCTCGCTTTTTCAGAAGTTTAATGTCAAGTGCCTGATATAGTCATCTGCAAGTCTAAGCAAGTGTGTGTAGTTTTTCTCATTCTTGTTTTAACTGGGGGAGAGGAGAGATACAAGAGAATGGGGTGCAAACATGCACATATTTTATGCAGAGAACACCAAGAAAGGTTGTTCTGCTGCAATTGTGTATAAATGAATAGAAGGAAAGCTAAGGCTTTGTATCATTAAGAGGCCTGAGCCTCTTGCCTCTGAAACCAGTGCCTCATACTAGATGACATGTGGGTAGAAAGTGTGCTCTGGACTCCAGAAACTCCACAACCAAGGATGAGTTTAAGGATCTGTTGCTGTGTCGATCCAGTTACCTTATGCTCCACATGGAGGAATCAACAAGTTCCACCTATGTCAAAAGAACTCTTATGTGGAAAGTGGAGAGAACCTCAAGGTGGGCAGTGGATCCCAAAGAGAGTTTATCACTGTCACTGCATCAGGAGTGGCTGTACATTGAATAACCTGGTTTTTGCCGGGGCTTCCAGAACCCCCGAGATCATCTTCTCCTCTGTAGTTGTGTATGAATGTTGTCAGCCCTATCAGTAGAAGGATGGGAGAAATGGCTCAAGGTGAGGAGAGATAGGGGGTGGGGGTATCTCTCCCAATTTCATTCTGGGTCTTCAGCAGAGAAAAACTGGCTTTGCGACACCTACACACAGCCCTCCGTACCTCCCCACCACCACCCCCTCTTTAAAAAAATCCACATTTTAATTTTTATTTTTTAAAAGCAAAGTTTAATCGTTTTGGAATTAGGGGAAGCAGCATAAAATTGTTCTTCTCAGAAACATGCATTTTTACTTTTTTGGTCCAATAAGGAGAATCTTTTCTGTCATTTTGCACAAGATCTATGTTTAGAAATGCTTATACTTAATTGCCTCCTCTCCTACTATCCAAAGTTTCCCTGTCTTTTTCTTTTAAGACAAATGAGTTTGAGCAGTTGCAGTAACACTTCACAGGTGTGTAAGTAGGAAGACATCATTTTCAAAAACATACCATATGATGAGAACTCCTAGTGATCACTAAAAGTAAACAAATAAAAATGCCAGTCTCATTTCCCTCATTTCTTATTTAATAGAAGAGAAGTAAATGAAAGGAAGAAGAAATAGATTTGCAATTAAAAGATGTGGCAAAAAGAGCTGAACGAGTGCAATTTAGCCTTCAGGTGCAGAATAATGGGAGTCCAAAGGAATGTGGAGTGGACTTAATTAGACGCAATTGTCTTCATCCTGAAAGTAGCCAGCTAAACCTAATTTCCAGTCTTTTGAGAGATTCCTTTTTGTTTCTTTCAAGGGTGCCCTTTTAAAGGCACATGGTTATTCCAGTTGTTCCACACCACTGAGTGCAGAAAGAAAGATTGTGAACCTTCTACTATTCTGTCTCAACCACATTCTCTGCTATGGGCAGATTTATAAGGATATCAATAATAGCAATGATAAGTAATAATAGCTGCCTTGCATTAGTTAGAGGGAGCATTTTTAATTCTACAAAAATTTTTGTGACATGTAAAGTGCAGTTGTAAGGAATGTGTGCGTGTACGAAAATGTATCTGTCAAGTTCAGAGTCCTCTGGATTAAAAACAATTATGACTTATCAATGGTGCCGTCATAGCTGTGTCAGACAATGGGTGGACCCATTCTCACAATTACCCTTCAAACAAATCTATGTTCAAATGCTTTAAAAATTTACCACATGATACAACAGTATAACTTTGTCAGTCTCCTAGAGTTCTTTGATTCTTTATTTTTTTCCAATATTTTTTTTCCTTAAAAATCAATGAAGACTTGATTTCTGTCAATAATTGTATTAAGGGTGAATATACTACCTGAATTCTGTGCATGTTACATTGTAGTTGTAACCTTTTCTAATTCAGGATGAATACGAGATGGTCGTGATTGTGCAGTGTATCAATAAAGTTCAAAGAAATTTGTACTTTTGGGGGGGGCTTTTTATTAGAATATATCACTGAGTATTCAGGAATGGAGAAAAGTGACGCAGACTATGCTTCTCCCATATGTGTGTTTTAGGCTTTGGGGAGTAGATGCAATCAAATATGCTAGTCTCTCTTTCTCTCTCTCCCTCTCTCTCTCTCGGCATAGAAGGCAGTCTAAGCACTTTCTATATTACACGTGTTATCAAATGTCTATGCCATCTACAAATAATATAAAATGTATCTGCAGCCTCAAAGTGTAAAAAATGTATTGTTTGACCTAGGCTCAATGGAATCAGAAGAGCAGTTTCAGAAAAATAATGACAGATACTCCTTAGTTTGAAACTCTATTCTTTAATAATTTCTACAGTTTGATTCCACTGAATTAAGCACAACTGTGACAAGAGTAAGTATGAGAAGATATGGTGGCTATGATATACATTTATTCACAGAAGTGTATGCCATGTTTTAATTGTCCTCCATCTTAGGTTTTACAGTAGTGTACATATGGGTATTAGCATGAAAAAGAGACCTGGAGAAGAAGCTGCATTTCTATGATTACCTTTTCTAAAACACCTTTCTCTTTCACCAAAACTCCAGTGCCCTTACCCTCATCACACATGCATTTGCTTTTCTGAAGGAATGGATATTAACCTCTTCTGTGCACTCAGCTTCTCATCAACCATTTGTATATCAAATAGCCCTTCTGCAATTAACTAAATATGTGATCTTGGACTGGACATTGGATCTTAGTGTTTATTTTCTCCTCTGTACCATTTTTTAATTTGCACTTCTCAGCGTGTTTTAGTTCTCAATTATCTAGGCAGTTTTTGGTTCTCTTTCAACCACTGGATTTCTCAAGACTTCCCTTAAATAAAGCTTAAAATCAACAACTGGTTATGGTTTGGGAATTCAGCAAGAAGGGGGTTAAGATTCTTCAACTGATATTACAGTATGGGTAGCACCTCTGGCCTACACCCCAAGTTTGAGTTACGAGGGTGGTTTCTTCTTGACTTTCTAGGCAGACAAGGCCAATCCTGACCTTTCAAGACTCTGTCTCCTTCTCAGTGAGCGGGACACAGATTTGTAACTTGATAAACTAGAGAATGTTCTTTGAAAAGTAAAATACGAAGGTAATGATAGACACCAATGACTGAGTTTTCAGTTTCCTCAGGCTCATTATAAAATTATGACTTGTCAAAGAAACAGATTTCTGGGCCTTTTACCATCTTAATGCCTGTAGTGCTCCTTCTCCCTTCCCCTTGTTATTAATCCTTTTAACTGTCCTTTTCCCATCCAGACCTGACCCTCTCCCGCTCCTGCTCATACATGCTGAAACCCTTACCTGTCCCTCTGTTCTCCAGCTGGCACAGACATGTACTGGTCACTCCATCTGACCACTCAGCTCCATCAATCATCAGTGGACCAATTTATTTCTCCATCAGCTAACCACTCACCTACTCATTCACATATTATGTTCCCCATTTATCTAACCCTTATTCCATCTATACACTCATGCACCTCCCTAATGTGACTGTTCCCATCTACTTATTGAAACCATCTATCCATTCCTCGCCTGTCAATCCAGCTACCAATCATCCTCCAGCTAGCCTTTGGCAGGCATGTCTACTTACCAAGACACTTCAAGGTAATGAAAATCTTTGCTGTTATCTTTAAATTCTGCAAGGGAGGCTTTATCTAGCTATGCTTAAGCATGGCAGCCAAACAGTTGGATGCATTTCTTTTTGTTATTTTTTGCCCAAATACACCATATTAAAAACATATACATAATGGAGTCTTTAGGGGATGTATTCAAGGCATTCTTGTTGCTATCAACATGTATTACAGTTGCAAAAGGATGTAGGAAGATGGAGAATTGGGAGTGGAGTGGAAACCCCCAGATGAGTACATGTTGATGTTTAACTTTCTAATACTAGGAATGCAATGAACATAACTGACTGAAGAGACAGACAGGAGAGACCTTGCTGGCAACTACCTCTTTTTTCCAGTTAAATTTTTGTTAAGTAAGTTATTTACTTTTATGAAAATTGGGGAGTATTAATAATTAGCACTGAACCCTATGTGCACTATTAGAAACTAAAACCCCAGTGCTATAAATAATAGTGTCATCCTTTACCATGGCCATCTATCTGGTCATCAAGAATTGTTTTCTCACATTTTTTCCCATTTGTTCATTTATGTATGCATCACATTTAGTAACGAGCATCCCTTAAGGAGCTCACATCTAAGATGTGACAACAGCTCTGTAAAAAGAAACACTGCAGTATCATATTGAAGTATTCAGATAAAGTGAAGAGAACATAACTATGGGGGGGGTGAATATTGGGAAATGATTGGAAACTTCATTATTTTCTGTACTTTTCCCCCAGAAAAGAAAAGCTGGGATGTAGACAGCTAATATAGAGAATGGATATGGTGAGCAGATACATTACTACAAAAACCAATGTGGTACCAGGACCACAGCACATGTGATGTCCAAGTACTTATTGATGTAGTGAATACAAGTGTGTTGGACAGATGAATACCATGGAAGGAGTTAAAAGTACAAAAGGCCAGAGACCACAATGTACAATTGAAGATGAAGCCAACACAGGAACTCTTAGAGATAGAGAGACACAACTTCTGGAAGGTCACATCTGGTCAGAATATTAAGTTTAATTTTATACAGGATTACTGAGCGTGTTATCTTTCATTGGATCTCAAAGCTCCATGAGCCTCTCTGATGAGGGAAGAAAGAAAAGGGTGATTGAGGGCAGGGACACAGCAGAGACTAAAGAGGGAGAAGCAGAAATTACTGTGCAGTTGCTGAATACTTACCCCAAAAAGAAATCTGCAGTTATTGACTGCAGTTCTGGGACTCATTTGTATTTAAGTGTTCAACAGCATGTCCTATGTCAAAAATATGAATATTTATAGTTTTTACCTCTCAGTCACTTGCTATACCCTAGAAGATATATTTCCTTTTATTTAGTTAAGTCCTAAAAGCAAGTATTTTATCTTCAGAGACATAGTGTGATGTAGTTTGGGGGAATTTATTTCTAAATTCTGATCTAACAATTTACATATTGTATTGCTTTCAACCAATTTTGTACCCTTTCTGAACTTCAGCTTTATCTATGTTGGTACAATGGTCAGACCCACCTCAGAAGGCTGGTTGTGAGGACTATTAGGTGTAAAGAGTTAAGGATTTTAACATAGTGCCTGGCACATATAAGTTACAAAATAAGCATTAGATTTTTTCCTCCTATTCTTTCCTCAGCCTTCTGTCAATGCCTTCACTTTCTTGAGCATCTATGAGCTATCTCAACTATGCTGCCTCTTTCAAAAGTATATTTTATATATTATTTTTTATTGGAGTTTAAAAGAGATAATACATTTTTGAGTTCTGGATTATTCAAGGATGCAAGCTTAAAAAGCTAGGAAGATTTTTGGTAGACCACCACAGAAATACTGAAAAAACAGTAGAACATCATTTCAATCTAATAAACATGTATGTGATCACTAGTATGGAACAAGTACTGAGGACAAACACAAAAGAATATCTAACTTCAAGAAAATCTTAGTCCAATGGAGGATATGAAGTTACAGCCCAACGTGGTAGATATTGTTCAAAGGCTAGAGGATCAAGTAAGTGCACATAACCAGATATCAGGGGTCAAGGCACCCTTGCAGAAGATGAGATGCCTGAGCTACATCTTGAAGGAGCCAAAGGAATTAGCCAGGAAAAGGGAAGGAGGAGGAGCAAGTGAGTAACAGCAGAAGCATAGCAAGGTCAAGAAACTGCAAATACAGATTATCCCAAAAAGGATGAGGGGAGAGGCACACACCAGGAGAGAAGGTGGAAAGGGGTAGGTAAGAACAAGATTCCTGAGATGTTGTGATTTCTACTAAGATAGATAAGGCAGATATCAAAGGATTTAGCCAGAAGAGTGGCCAGGTGGAATTCACAATTGAGCTATATTACCATGGCAGGGGGGTAGATTAAAGAGCATTGGTCACTGGCAAGAGAGAAACATGTTAAGGGAAGTTGATATAATTTTGGTGAAAAAATGATTATGAATAATAAGAAGTAGCAGGGAAGTTGGAATGATTTTTAGAAGGCAGATCAAATGGGAAGGAATAGACACATGGGAGTTGGAGATATGGGGGATATTCCAGATTTCCAATTTCGCCAACTGGGTGGAAGATGTGATTCTGAAAACTAAGGAGGACGATAAAGTTTCATCAGTTTTTGACACATCTTTTCAAGGATCCTTAGAACCTCCAGGTGGAGGGATTTAAGCATCATCAGCATTTTCCTGAGTCATGTAATTATATCCATCATCCTCTACAAGGGGTGCCTGATTTCCTTCCTCCACTTCCCACTTTAGTCCCATAGAAACTCTAGCTCCTTGAGTTATTTGCAATTCATTTCTCATCCTCCATTTCCTCCGTCTTCTGATTTTGTCTTACAAAGGTACTGCTTTTTATTGCTTGCTGCGATGGGGTTGTATGGTACACAGCAGTCCTTGGAGTGGGCAGTCAGGAAGTGACAGAAGACTGAAGTGGGAAGGAGAAAATGGCTTGGCTCTCCCACCACCCAGATGGGATGTGGCACTTCTCATGTCTAACACTAAGGACAAACCACTGTTCACTGTGTGATGAGAGAATAGCTGGGCTCTGCGAATGTTTGTACGTGTTTATTACAATCCATCTGCTTTTTTACAGTAAGGCAAATCCTCTTTTTGTTCTTACCCTACAATTTGATGCTCATTTCCTTGTGAACATTTTTTAGAAAAGTTCTTAAGTTTTCAAACCTCATCCAGCTTTGTTCAATTTTTCCCCCCAATAATCTCAGAGAAGCCATCCTAAAACTTGGGAAGCCTGGATCTTTGCAGGAAGCCATGGTGTCTGGCTGCCTCTCAAGGCAACGAGGTTTTCCAGGTGGCCCTATCAGCATATGTCAACACAGAGCCGTGGGAGTTTGAGCCCACGTGCGTGCACTGGTCTGAGACGATGCAGCAGGAACTGCAAGTGGGAAGAACTAAATGTTAATCTTGATTCTGCCATATATTAGCTGTGTGCCTGCAGATTTATAGTGTAACCTCTTACAGCCTCAGTTTACTCACGTGCAAAGTAGGGTTAGTAACTATCCCATGACACTGCTGTGAGGCATAGAATAGAAGGAGCAACACAAAAGCACCTGGCCAGCTCCTGGAATATAGATGCTCGGCACAGAGAAGCAGCTGATTAGTTCATTCCTTTTCATCACCCTCTGCTCTGCTCTCCCCATTTTCCAAACCAGCCCACACCTACCAACACATGATCATCTAGAAGGCACAATGTAAGGGATGCCTCTACTCAAATATCATATTCTCCACTTTGTTGTTGGAATCACGTCAAATGAAAATGTGTGAGGCTGTATGTTTATATTCAGCTTTCAAGTGTTTTATAATATCTACTTCCTTCTCCCCTTCCCCCCTCTTTCTAGGTGCATAAGGTGTAAGAAACCAATTACAAATGCAAGGTGGCTATCTGTCCATCTATAGATCTCAAGGTTGGCTGTCCCTGAGAAAGGAGGCAAGCCAGGTTCTGCCCATGGAGCCCATGTCTTTTGTTCCTGCTCTCATTTCCTGCATGCTGGATTTGCAAGGACTGTTGCTCTGGTTACAAGACAGAGTCAGTTTCTCTCCCTTCATGGGCAGAGGTCTCAGGGGAATGAGCTTATTAGAGATATAGTAGCCACGTAGTTGAGTCAGCTAGGATGGTAAAGAGACTCATTGGTGGTCCTCAACTACAAAGGCTCCAGTTCTTCTCTGGATGAAGCCAGAGTCTCTGTATCAGTGCTGCATGGGCAGCATGGACAACCCCATGTGATCTCTTCCTGTCTCATTTTCCACCTTGTGTGACAGTGGCTCCAGGACCTGAGTCAGTGTGCTTGTTTGAATGGGTCTCTTTGATGTCAATTCTTCATTGAGTTACTTGCAGAATCCCCCGTTATCCCTGCCTTGCTCTCCCCGGTAC